ATCCCTCACAGGGTCATTATGAGTGATAATTCGATGGCACCGAACCACCACAAGGAATTGTATGTCTTGTCTTTTCTTTGTCACTCTGTGTATTTCCATATCCATCCAACTAGCCAATTCCTCAGGAAATTAGACCTCACCATTCTGACTTCCCATGAAAAAACTTTTGTCTTAGGTGACAAAGTGTTGCTCCAGTCCATGGGCATTTTCTTTCCAATCCAGAAACTAAAGGTTTCTCATTCTCGCATTCATACCTTTGTGCCCCACCCCAACCCCACTGATTTCTGTGAACCTGGGCCATTGCTGCAAATCCCACTTCTGACACCAACTGATGATATGGCAAAATGATATGGCAGAAACATCTGTCCTCCTCAACTTGGTGTGAGAGAAAAAGCACGATCAGCAGCTTCAATTTGTAATAAGCAGACTCCTTGATCCAGGCTTTATCCCACTTCTAGCATCACCTAAATGAATCATTTCTTCTGTAAGGACCAGGACAAAGCAGTCTTGCAGAACTTGTTAACTGTTCTTACAGGAAAGTGGTTTATTAGGGAAGCAAGAGTACAACTCAAGATTGAGATCAACTTGGAAATAACAGGAACAAGTTAGGATGAAGTTCATCAATCAGGACCCTTCTTCTTACCCTCTCCTGCTAGGCCCTGAGAAGGGTCTTGCTACCACCAGGCTGTAATTGAGGTCTTCTCCTACCGGGTTTTGCTGGAGCCTTCAACCACCAGGCCATGAGGAGGCCTTCTTGAGCAAGTGTTAAAACTCTTAGCTCTGCTGGTTGGCAATCTCCATGGCAATCTTTTCATACTGATCTCCTGGTTCATCCATGTCTCTGCTACTCTTGTTACTGCTACACAATCATCTCTGTTTTCCATATTATACTTTCTCTTTTTTATTTCTCTCTCCATGTTTCCCTTTAAGTCTTTTAGCTGGCAACAGTTGTCAGTCCCTCATTATACACCTTAGTGTATAGGGGTTTCTATACACTTTATTTTCATGTTCTTATACCTCCCTGTTGTCGATGGAAGGAAAAGACAGAGTCAGGGGCACACAGGAATGGGGGTCAGGCCAGAAAGTGTAAAGACAGGGGGCTAACAGCTGTGCTATGCCTTTCTGGGTTTTTATTGAGAATCATCAGGAAGGTGAACAAAGAAAAATCACAAAAGAGAAGTAAATAAAAACAAAGGATCATGGGGGAGTCTTTTGTAAATAAGGGTGAATTCTTCTCTATTGTTTACCTTATGCTTATCTCAGGAAGGAGAGATTTAGTAAATACAAATTAAGAATTGTGTAGACCTTAAGGATTGCTGTAATGCCTACTCCTGTCCTTAGAGAGGGACATCATGCTTGGTAGGGTAGAGGGACAGCGCAGGAGGGGAAGACCCTCTATGAGGTGGATTGATTCAGTGACTTGGGTAATCGGGATGGGAGTGTCAGAAGCAATGCGATTGGCACAGGATAGAGCAGGGTTTAGGGCTGTTGTACATAGGGTCGCTATGAGTCGCAAATGACTTGATGGGACATAAAACAACAACAACAACTTAGTGCCACAGGGTGAATTCCAGCTTGTATCAGCCTCCCTCCTATCCTCACATAGCATTTGGTTTATTATTAGTATTAAATTTGATATTCAGCTTCCCACACCTCCCCATAGAAATGACATGTCATTTATTTATTCACATTATTAGCAAGTTATTCCATCCCTTTGGCCAATCACAAGCACTTCGTTTGTATAGTTCCACTTTAGACCAGGGCTAAAAGGGGCATGTTAGGTAATTCTCTGTTCTGTAAGTATCCTGAGTGCTCCCATTTGGCCCAAGACAACATCACGGCTCTCTTGATATTGTCACAGCTCCAAAGGGGGGTCCCTCAATTTGCCCTTGCCATCTTTACCTCTTCCCCATACAGCAGCCAGAAGGCTCATAACAAAACTAAGTCAGAACACGTCACTCTTCTGTTTATTATTAATTTTAATGAAAGTTTATAGAGACTTAAAATTTCCATTCATTCATAATTGCACTTTTCTTCCTGCCCAACCCCCTCCCCCAATTCACTCTTTTCCTTGAAAAGGAAAAGAAAAACTGTTTCATTGTTATGCAATCCCTCCCCCCAAGTCCACTCCACTGTGCAGCCTTCATTCCAGACTCCTACCATGACAATAATACCCAATCATATATATCTTTTTAAACAGTTCTCTCCTTCACCTGTTTCAATGCAGTATACATCATTCATCCCCTCCTTCTCTGTCTTCCCTCAACCCCGATCTCAGTCCCATTTTACAACAGTGGCCCTATGCAATATTTGTCCTTTTGTGACTGAGATATTTCACTCAGCATGTCACTCTTCTTAAAATTCAACTCCACACTCCTACCTCTCTAGAAGTCAGAAACAAAATAAACACAGTGGTCTCATTCCCTGCTTCCCCTGGGCCCTGCTCTCCTCCTACCTCCTGGAGCTCATCCCAAGATCCTTACACTTTGTATAGTAACAAAGCTCTTACACCAATCAGGGACTCCCAAAGTTATAGAGACAAAAGGAAGGAGGCTGCCAGGGAAGACAGGCCCTGCACCCCATCCTAAGACCTCTGGGGGTTTCAAGCCAAGAGCTGGGGGTTAGGAGACGTGGGACTGCAGATACATGTTGGAAGAGCCAGGAGGGTGCTGTTAAATTTTGTTGTTGTTGTTGTTATGTGCCATCGAGTCGCCTGCGACTCATAGCATAGACATGACATTTAAAAACCCAGGAAGGTCTGGCCTCGCCCAGGGAAGGGGCAGAATGAGGACAGTAGGGCCACAAGCCTCAGTGAGTGGTCTCCAGACTTGTCATGTCGCTGCATTGTTTGTCAATCACTCTTTGACCCAAGAAGCAGCGTTTTAATCCCAAAACGTCCTACAGGCCCATCTCGTCCTGCTCCATCCCCTTGGCCTCTCCCGGTGACTGTCCTCCTCCTCTTCACCATGTGGGACTGCACGTAAGGCCAGCAGGCCGGTCAAGTACCTCGGTCAGGTCTTTGTTCCCTTCACCCCTTATGTCAAAATGATGAAGGCAACTCCCTTTCCATTGGTGCTTCCCGGGGTTCTGCATGGGGCCTCCCCTCTTCCCTCAATGACCAAATCCTTGATCAGAGTGGCTCAGGGGGAAGTGGATCCGTGAAAGAGACCCGGCTGGTCGGTCAGCTGTCCCACCGGGAGAGGCACCAAGGGCCAGCCCAACCCAAGTCCCGGCCACTGCCACGCGGTTTCCTAACAGCCGGGAATCCGGGCAGTGTCAGCACCGGCGGTCGGACGCAGCGAGGGCCTGGCGCTGCACGGGAAGGCGCGGGGCTGGGGCTCCCAAGCCCACATACGGGCGGAAGGCCAGGGCCATTGGGTTCGGGGAGGAGCAGGCCGAGGGGACCGAACTCGCAGCATCGCCGGGCGGGAATGGTGCACATGCTCCTGACACGCCGGCTGTGCCCGGCACTGCCAGCAGAGGGCGACGACGTGCCTTAGGCAACCACGGGAAGGAGGCCGCCGTTTGATGGACAGCTATCTAGCCCTATCATCACAAAATGTTGGCAAACTCTCCGCCCAAAGGACATTTTTTTATTCTGAAAGCGTTGCGTATGGAACTCCGTCAACCCAATGAGAGAGGTGGAAATTTCCAGAAAGACCTAAACCAATGGGTGCGGCTACCGGGGCTGTGATGGACGGAGCAAGTGGTCAACCGTTGTCTTAGAAGCGCTCTCTACCGGCCAATTATGAAGGGAGAGACAGGCGGGGGTTTGTTGAGTAAAGACCAATCCCGAGAATCTGAGGAGGCAGGGAGGCGGGCCTTACTCTCTGCTGTCCAATGAGAGGGAAGAGCAGATGATAGATTAAGCTTCAAGCCAGTAGTAGAAAAGAGCAGAGAATCCCCAGGAGGCACTCGACCAGTGAGCGGACAAGGAAGGGGCGGGTTTCGGAGGTCCCGGCAGCTTCTAGTAGGTTCCAGAAGGCGGCGCGTGCGGTTGGGAACGCGGAGCGGACGGGTTCGATTCAACGGGGTTCCGGGGCCCGGCTATGGAGCAGGTGAAAGGGGAGGGGTGGACCGGCACCGGAGCCGCGGCGGGACGGCCGAGCGGGACCGCGACGGCGGGAGGCGGACGGGGCGGGAGCCGCCGGGGTCGAGCGGGCGACCGGGAGGCCAGGTGGGAGGGCCGCGGCCGCCGGCGAAGGGGAGGAGCAGCGAGGCCTGGGGCGCTGACCGGAGAGGACGGCGCGCATCGCCCCCAGTGTCCGCGAGGGTCCGGGGACAGCGGCTCCGCGTCGGCCGGCCTGCGGAGGGCGGTGGGTCGTGGCCGGGCCCGAGGCCTCGGAGGGGTGGCTTCTCGGCGGGTGGGGGCCCTGGGAGGGTCCGAGGCGGCGAGACCGTGCGGGAATCGTGGGGGAACCGGGCCACCCTGGACGTGGCCCCCAGTGAATTGGGAGGAATCAGGCAAGAGAACGGGAATTAGTGCAAGTAGCAGAGGACTCGGCGGCCTGGGACACCGTCGGGGGGGAAACTTCTGTCCTGCGGGTGTCGAGTGGGGCCGCTGAGCTGGCGAGAGGCGCTGCCCGAGGCGGGGGAGCTGACCCCGCTTCCCTGGCCACTCCCAGACCTGCGTCCTGCCCTCGGTCCCCCCAGTGTTATGGTCCTGGAGTGGCCGCGGCCTGCGTCCTGCCCTCTGTCCCCCCGATGTTATGGTCCTGGAGTGGCCGCGGCCTGCGTCCTGCCCCTCTGTCCCCCCGATGTTATGTTGTGGTCCAGGAGTGGCCGAGGCCTGTGTCCTGCCCCCTGTCCCCCCGATGTTGTGGTCCTGGAGTGGCCGAAGCCTGCCCCCTGCCCCCTGTCCCCCTGATGCCGTGGTCCTGGAGTGGCCAAAGCCTGCGTCCTGTCCCTCTGTCCCCCTGATGCCGTGGTCCTGGAGTGGCCGAGGATGGACGCTTCAGAAGGGCTGGTTTGGGGCCTGTGCAGGTGAACCCAGATGATCGATGCCCCTGGGCTCTGCATCTGGGGGAGGAGGGCGACTGAGCCGGAAGCTGCTGGTGGTCACTGACAGTTTCTGTCCTGAGTGGCATGTGGGTGATGTGAGACCTCCACACGGGCTGTCATTGGCGACCAGGATGAATGGAGTTGAGAAGGGAGCACAGGGCACCCCGTTTTATGTGGCATGAGGCACCCCCAGCTCAACGTCTTTCTTTTTCACCCCAGTGTAAGGGATTGCAATTGTGGCCAAACCTGAAGCTTCCCTGTGAGATTTAAAGGGAAGACGGAGTGGAACCGGCAAGGTCCACACACTCTGTGTGTGCTCCTCGTAGTAAACAGTGTCCCTGGGACCAGATAGGGTGTAGTGCAGGCAAGAGAGGGACTTGGAGTAAAAATGCTGCTTTGTTAGCCTTCAGTAAGTGGCTGTTCCCGCTGTTAGCAGAGTAGATGAAAGTCCTTGACTTAGGAGAGTGCGTGCTGGGCAAGCAGCTGAATGTGGAATCTTGGAGCAGCCAGATTCCAGGGCAGATGTGACCTGGCCGTGTAACTCCAGGTGCGGCAGAGCCCATTTCCCGAAAAGAACCCTGGCTCTGTTTTTGGTGTCCGTTTTCATACTGTGAGATCCACACTTTGGTATCAGGAATCAGTTGTGTAGGTTGGATACCTTTGAATATCCAAGATGATCCTTTTTTGGCAGGCAGTGTACAAAGAAATCCCTTTTTACCTTTGGTTATCATTGGAGATAAGACATTAGAATACATTTAGAAAAAAAAAATCTCTAGCTGCTGTGTGTGTGTCTGAGCTATAGGGGTTTTTTTCTATTCTATTTGATCTCTTAATGTTGATGTCTTGACCCAGTCAGTTTGAAAAGTGCTGTTCTGTAGGGTAGACACGGATACCTGGTGGCACAGTGCTAAGTGTTCCGCTGCCAGTGTAAAAGTTTGAATCAGCTGCTCCAAGAGGAGAAGATGTAGCAGTCCACTTCTGTGGGATTGCCAGGTCTGGGGCGCGTCTCCTACAAGGTCACTCTGAGGGTCAGGTGGCTTCACCTCCAGGACAGTGATTTTGGGTTTCTTATACATGAAGCTTAGACAGCACTTCTCCAGGCGCTTCTCCAGCTATCTTTTGATAAGAGTTTTGTAACTTTGTCTTCTGGCCTCAGGCCTGGGACTTAAGTCTTTAGTATCTTGCTTGTTCCCGCAGTCTCCCTGCCTCTCTCTGGAGGATGAAGTTTCTAATTGATGTGCATCAAGGTTCCAAAGTCATTTCTTTTCCTTGGATTCTCTCCTGTATGAATCCAGTGCATCACAAGCTATGCTAGAGACACCCCAAGATCTCCCTGAATGTTTGCGTTGTAGAGAGCCTCTGACATGTGCCTCTTTCACGATACTCAGACTTTTGGGGGTTAGTTCCTGTTACTTTTTATTTCTCCATTCAGTCTGAATGTTGGAGAAGCTGGGGACTGGACCTCACCTCCTTGGTAATTGTAGTTTTCGTTATGCAAATGGGATGTTGGGGGAGGGCAACACAGAGCATTAATCTCTCACCTAGACCTCTGTCACATGGACATAGCACCGAGCCCCAGAGGGTGAGCTGTGCTCTCAGGAAGATAGCCTTCATGCCAAGGCCTCAGTTAGCCAGGGTGTGGAGCAGAGAGAGCACAGCGGCTCCTCTTCTTCAGTGATAGCGCCTTGTGCTCATTTTCTCTTGACTTCTTTGGACCTCTGTGATACATGAATTTACCTTTCCATGAAAGAAATGTCTGGATAGGGCCTAGAAGTAGCTTCATTTGCTGTGTTTTGGAAGAGTAACTTGGGTACCCAGAGATGAATGGTGGACTGCAAGGAGATAGGCGTCTGGCCACGGGTTGATTTTCTTTCTCTGCTGGTACCTCAAGGAGTTAAGAGTCTACATAAAATGATAGGGTTTTTCCCTCTGATCATAATCTATCGGTTGAGAATGTCAGAAAAGAATAAATTTAAGGGGAGCTCTGGTGGCCTAGTGGCAAGGAGCTGCAACTACAATCCCAGAGGCACACGGTTCAAATCCACCAGATGCTCTGCCAGGGAAGGAGGGGCAATCTCCTCCTGTACCAGTCAGATCTGATTTGACGGTACACACACACACAGATAATAAAATTAAAAAAAAAAGTTTACTCTCAGACACTGGGGCAGAAGTATATCTTGTGAGAAACAGTACTGACACCGTGTGGCTCTTTTTTGTACATCCTGAAACAGCTTATCATTTCAGGTCAGTGAGCTGAAGGAGAAGGGCAATAAGGCCCTGAGCGCCGGGAACATAGATGACGCGCTGCAGTGCTACTCAGAGGCCATCAAGTTAGATCCCAAGAACCATGTGCTCTACAGCAATCGCTCCGCCGCCTATGCCAAGAAAGGAGACTACCAGAAGGCCTACGAGGACGGCTGCAAAACCGTGGACTTGAAGCCTGACTGGGGCAAGGTAGGCTGTTCCTTGTTCCTGCTCTTCGCATGGTTCCCTGCTCTTCGCATGGTTCCCTGGAGTTTGTCTGGGTTCTGTGCTGATCATCTGAGTTGCCCAGTGGTCTGTTGGGTAGACCTGATTTACTGTTCACCTTCTCCCTTTCTAATTGGCTGTGGTCCTCAGTGTATTCTCTTAGGTACAGTCAGGTTGACTTCTGACTAGTGACCAGTACATCTGAAGCTTGTCCTATCCTGTGCTGTTTTCACGATCTCCATCAGGCATGCTCAGGCCCATTCATAACGTCACTATGTCAGTCAATCTGGTTATGGGTCATTTTCTCTTTCTTTGACTCTCCACCTCTCCCATCATGGTATTTTTTTTCCAAGGATTAATTGTCAGTCTAAAAACTAAGGAGTGCCTGATACAGGCCATGGTCTTTGCGATTACTTGCTATGCATCAGAGAGCTGGACAGTGACTAAGGAGGATAGAAGAAGAATTGATGCCTTTGAGTTGTGGTTCTGGAGAAGAGTCTTGAACATACCATGGACTGTCAAGAAAACAAATCGGTCTGTCTTGGAGAGGATGAAACAAAGTTTCTCCTTGGAGGCTAGGATTTTAAACCTCCATCTTACATACTTTGGGCATGTGGCCAGGAGAGACTGGTCCCTGGAGAAGGACATCATCCTCAGAAGAGTGGAGGGACAGTGCAGGAAGAGGAAGACCCTGGATGAGATGTATTGATATAGTAACTTGGGGCGGTAGGGTTTGGTGTGTTAGAATTAGTGAGGCTGGCTCAGGACTTGCTAAGGTTCAAAGCTGCTGTACATAGGGTCTCTGGGTTACAGGTGAGTCGACAGCACTTAACAAGTCCCTCCTGATAACATGTCCAAAGCATATGAGATGAAGCCTCAACCTTCTTGCCCTGAAAGAGCACTCAGGTTGCACTTCCTTCAAGATAGACTATTTTATTCTTTTGGCATTCAAAGGCATCAATTCTTCTATGATCCTTATTCATTGTCCAACTTTCAGCTGCATAAAAAGTAAATATTAAAGACCATGGCTTGGATCAGGTGCACCTTAGTCTGTTGTTCACTGACATCATTGCTCTGTAGCACTTTGGAGAGGCCCTCGACAGCAGCAAATTTTTCCTAGTGCAGCTTGTCTTTTGATTTCTTGCTGTTACCATGGGTATTGATTGTGAGTCGAAGGAAAATGAAATTGTTGACAGCATCAGTCTTTTCTCTATCTGTCATACTTTGGCTCATACAGGATCAATCTTGGCCTTGTATTCTCCCTTCTCCCTGGTTTCGTTTCGGCCTTTATGTGAGTACTTGTTTTGTCATGTAAGGTGTAGCTTGTTTTGAGTTCATTTTCCACATTTACCTTTGAACTCCTCAAAAGCCACACTGTTGAATTGGAGTGAGTAGTTCGACTCCTAATGACCTCAAGGTCCTAGGAGGACTGTCCCACGGGGTCTCCACAGGCATAGCAGACTGCCACATCTTTCTCTTGCTGGTGTGCTCAAATTGCTAACATTTAGCAAGCGAGTGTCAACTACTGTCCACCAAGGCTTTTTGGATAGACCTTTACGTGTCTTAATTATGTCTGTCTTTGGTGCTTCAGGGCTATTCGAGAAAAGCAGCTGCTCTCGAATTTTTAAACCGGTTTGAGGAGGCCAAACGAACCTATGAGGAGGGTTTAAAACATGAAGCCAAC